TACTTCCTACTTCGTGTTTTACTTAATTAGAGAGGCCAGGAGACAGATCTGGAGACCACCATTACAAATCCATATCCCATTAGCTAGGAAAAAGTACAAGTACCTTCCCTTTAAATCCATTTGTTTAAGGATCTAACGGCAGATCATGATATGGTCAGATCTTACTGCACCCTACGTTCTTGAGGCTGCTGGAGCAAGCGGCCGAAGAGTACGGGTTTGATCAAGAAGGTGCAATTTGCATTCCTTGCAGGCCCAGTGAGCTTGAGAGCATATTGTCTGAGCCATGGCATGAAGAAGAAGAAGACGCTGAAAATTCTGGAGTTAGCTGCAAGTCCGGAACTCTCGTCAAGCCATGCTTCAAAGCTCCTGCAGATGATACCAACTCGAAGAAACGGTTTTGCCAGTCTAATTAATTAATCTTTTGTTTAATCCAGTTTTAATTTCTCGAGTGAAATCCATCCGGTAGCAAGGCGTGGCCAACATATATATGAGACACTGTAACCGATGCAGTTTACTTAAGGGGTTAGATAAGATTAATTTGAGACGCTGTATATCTCATTATCAGTCTCGTTCAATATCAATAAAATGATTAATTAGTTATGAGAGTAAAATCTTGAATTAGTCTATCTTGGCAACAAAGCTAGCCCTGCCCGGGTGATCCCGTCAACATGATAGAAAAGATAAGAAATAAGGGATGCGCAGTTGTTAGAATCATCAAGTTTCAAGGATTTGATGTTGTTTAAAAATATCTAGATATTATATGATCATTGATTAGTATATTAATTAGTCCGCATTAACCAAGTTATATCAGACTTGGGAGTGAGATGAAGAGAAGTGAGCTTTGCTGTTCTTTATCCAACGTGACAGCACTTTTTGGCCCATTTAAAGTTATATTTGTAACAGCAAAATAATTAAAAATTGGTAGGAAATTAAAGGCAAAAATGGTTGAGTCGCTCCCTCCAAAATCATTTATGATAGGATAGGCATGGTTCATATGCGCAGGCCGATGAACATGGGGTCAACCTGCCTGGTTTGCCCCATACCGAGCAGTGATATAGCATGAGGATTCCGGCAAGCATGCTGCATTGAAGGCTAGTGTTACACAAGACAATGGCCAGCGTACAATTGTTATACATTTAATTGGGTGAATACTAAAGATGAAAACCTGAACTTAGATGAAGGGCTGGAGGTGAGCATAGCCTTACTTACGTGTCCCTTGTTTTCCAACGAGTTGTAAATAATTTTCTACTGATTCTAAGAGTTGCCTGAGAGAGTTGTATATTGTTTTCCCGCAACTGGATCTATCTGTTTATCTGTGAAACAATACACTTACATGGTCATCACTTTTTGTCATCCGATATTGTTGGCCCATATGCATGTATGGACAAGTCTTGCATGTTAACAAACGTTGAGAAACATTCCAAGTTAGGTGTAAAAATGTTTGATATCTTATTTATAAGTTAGAAAAAAAAAATTTTTTTATCTTATTTATAAGTCATGTCATTAAATTTTTATTATAAATTTTTTTTTATCCTTCATTGCTGGAGAGAGAATATATATTATTAAAAAATATATATTTAATAAAGATAAAATTAAAAACTTACTAAACTTTAAAACATAATTAATAAATTTTAAAACATTTCTTAATATTAATAAAATATGTTAAAATCATTTCTAAATAAGATCATATGAGCATAAGTTGGGCGAGAGGGCGAGTCTCGCATTAATAAGAGAGACATGATTGGAAGGAGTTATTCATTGCGTCGACAGCCAACGCGCCAACTAGAAGGTGGCTTAATTACTAGCGCATATATTATTGAAGGCGCCGCGATCTCATTCTGACCCCTTTAATGTTTGCTATCCCATATACATAGCGTCATCTACGACACCCGCACAGGAAGCTGATGACGTCTAATCATGTCACTTATCAATCTTCTAGTTTGAGTTTTTGTTTCCCTTTTTAATTACTTCAATTCAAACATGGGAATCTCCTCCATCCTTTGTTCTTTTTATTCTCCCATTGTTCCGGCTACCAAATATGTTTACCGGTTTGGATCGACAAGGTAAAAAATAGAAAGAAGAGAATACTGGAAGAAAAACTTTGACTATTTTTGAAAATCTTTTCCTTAGCATTTTTTTCCCCTTTCTCCCCAAATGAAGCCTTAAACTTAAAATTGATCATTAATAGGGTCGAACATCATCATAATTAAGTCATTTCTCACCTGCCTGAAGAAAATGAAAAACTTTCATATGCTTCCTTTTTTTTTTATAAGCAAAACAATAATTTTGAAGAAGCACTACTTATTATATAATTTCTTATAGGATTAAAAAACTTTATTAAAGTGGTTAATAAGTTTATTAAAATATACCTAATTATATATAAAAACAGAGAGAACACATCATATTGAGGGGGGAAAGAAGGCAAAGACCCAAAACGAGATAAGAGCCGCGTGTGCCTCCCAAATTTGGTCACGTCTCCGTAACTTTCAAGCTGGTTAGCTTCAGAGACTCACTGAATCGATCAACTATATATGAATATGTCTGTGGGCAAAAAGAAGAAAGAATTGCTTTTTGGGACGGTGCGCGTCTCGATTAAGAATGCTGTTCCGTCTGCTAACAGCAGGTATTTGCTGGATTTTTAACGGAGCTTTAAACAGAAGGAAACAAATTTGAGCCCAAAAACGAAACAGTGTGCTTTAAGTAGACTTCATGACAACCTTTGTTCTAGTTGATTTTCGGGTTCAGGCCCTTATTTATTGCCAAAACTCTTTTCCACAAAACAATTTCGTGGATATGAATGGTTTTTCGTTGCATTATGCATCATGATGTTGCTAGCAACACAGATGTTGTATATCCTTCCATTTTGACTTCCATCTCACTTTTATCATCTTTCATTGTTAATAATGACTCTCAGCATATGTACACACACAAACACACACATATAAATATCTATATTTTGGATATTTCCAAAATTGAGTTAATTAAATCCTCACCGAGACTTGAAGTTATTTGTTTGTCTTTGTCCATCGAAGAAAAAGGACACGAGCATGAGGGAATAAAGTTAGGAATATGCCAGAAATATTACCAAGTTAAGGAGAGGTGATATGATACATCAATTCAATGGCAGGGACGGCAGCGTTTTGGCTCCCTGAGGCATGCAATGTAATCCAACACCAGCCGTATACGTCACTAACACTTTGGATGAAGGCATGACATGGTATTGTCAAATCGCGCTCGCGTGTGTATATTTGTGCATGCCATTTTTAACTTTGTCCTCCTATCTGTTTTTGAGGCTGAAGCACTGCAGGTTAATTAATGAAGATAATAGCTTGGCTATTTTATTTTGCAAGTCCTTTATCATTATATGTGATGTTACTGTTATTTTGTCATGTATGTGATGCGTGAAGCGTGGACTGTACACATGGCCCCCGGCTGTTACCGACACAAGATCCATGTTCTAGAACCATCCAGCCCTACTTCCTCGCAATTGACAACTGCTGCGAAGCTCCGACTAAAAGTCCTGCCCACCTCCGTTTCTTTTTCCTTTTATTTTCTCTTCACTAAAATTCATTTTCATCACGGAATATGGAATCCTACTTATTTTATGCTAACTCATGATCGTAAAAATAAATCCAAATTCAATTCTCGTAATGTACGTCAAGTTGACGTTACCCAACGGAATAAAGTAATAAACAGACAGCTCGCGATTGCACCGAGCGCTTGAAAACGTTCGACAGGACATTTTCACGGCTTGCGTGTGAAGACCGTTTTGTCCTCGGGGCCATGGCTCTCGGCGGTGTTAGCTCCAGATTTGCGAGGAACACACTCAATATATTTTCTTTGATCTCATTTATAAAAAAATATTTTATAAAATTTATTTAAATTTATTTATAAATTATGATGTGACTTTTTAAATAATATTTAAAATATATTTTTAAAATTATTTTTTATAAAAGAAAAAAATAGTATGACGTTACTTTTAAAATTTATTATATAAAAATATATTTAAAATTTTATATTTTTTATACTTTTCATTTTTTTATATTAATATTAATGAATTTGATAAAAATAATTTATAATGATGGCAAGAGGAGTGCATCATTATAACTTTCCCAACGGAACTGCTTCTCTTGCGTTATTTGTCTGATGTAGCAGCGGATACCGTGGGCCCTTGTAATTAGAAGAGATGGTTTAGTTCATTAAGAAGTGTCAAATGAGGAAAATTCAAGAACAAGGAGTTTTATATTAAGAAATATTGTGCCAGCAAGGACAGGAGGGAGCAGTCTTTGTCTCATTAAATCTGAACCTGTGGAAAGTTAGTGGGATCCTATGCTGCGTTTCTCAATTAAACCTGCCAATATATATACATACATACATATATATATATATATAGAGGGGATAAAATAAAAATAATTAACTAGTTTGTAGCGAATATGATGTAATCATAAGATATATAAACTAGTACCTGGTAATTTGGTTGTATTCATCAAGTTATAACATGCGTATGTTTGGATTAAATGCTCAAAATATTTGAAATAGATCCAGTCTACAATTGGTATATCCTCCATCGATACACACACACACAATCTAAGATGGTAACTGTAATTTCTGCAGAGTCCAATTTCGGAGAGGCATGTAAAATGGGAGTACGAAGGAATGATCACCAAGCTGGGAGAGTCTCCGGGCTCCGGCTAATAATTTCGGAACATGAGCGCAAAAAACAAAAAACAAAAAAGGACATCCCATGGGTAAATTTATTATTATTATTTTTTTTTTTTCGGGGACCTGAATCTCATGGGTAAATTGAAAGCTCGAAAGTTGGGCGCTGTCTCATGAGTATACACACACGCAGGGGTGGGGGCTTTTTCTCTACAGCACTAGCTTATCCCTGTCTCCTAACTCTTTAATATAAATACACAAACCTAAATACTAACTATAACCTGCAGTAGAACTCAGTGTAGGAAACAATCACACACACACCACCACTATTATATTATATCATGGCCACCCACAGAAACAACAACAAAACCAAGAAGATAGGTAGGATGGTGAAGCTAAGGATTCTAATTGAAAAACTCCAGAAAGGTTTGTTGCTTATTGGAAGGAGATCGTCAAGTTCTTGCTATGACGTCCCAAAAGATGTGAAAGAAGGGCATTTTGCAGTGATAGCTGAGGATGGGGAGGGACCGATGAGATTTGTGGTGTCACTGAGATATTTGACCCATCCTACATTTTTGAGGCTGTTGGAGCAAGCGACCCAGGAGTACGGATTTGGTCAAGAAGGTGCAATAAGCATTCCTTGCAGGCCGTGTGAACTTGAGAGCATATTGGCTCAGCCATGGCCTGAAGAAGAGGGAGCCTTAGAAAATCCTGGGACTCTCGGAGTCAAGCCCTGCTTCAAAGCTCCTGCAGATGATACCAACATGAAGGAATGGATTTGCCCGTCTAATTAATCTCTGATTTGTTAAATCCAGCCTTGCTTTCTCGAGTGAAATCGATGCAGTTTGCTCAGAAGAGTTAGCCAAGACCTAAGATTAATTAGAGGACAGTATATCTCATTGTCATTATTCTCACTCAATATCCATATATAACAGATTGGATCATTAGCTACGGGAGTAAATTCAATATCCTTCTGATTCCACTGTCCCGCCAGCTGCCAAATACTTTTTTTTTTTTTTAACTGAGAATGACAATAATATGGACGAACACCAACGCAATAGAGTCCTAGATCTCTGACCCATAAACAAAAAGTGGCCGGTATATATGAATGTAATCCCATGATACTCTCACTCTCAGTTACATCATATTTGACAAAATGGGCAAACGACTTAAATGAGATGAGATAAGCACCGCGCACGTGACTTCCAAATTGGTCACACATCTCTGACTTTTATCGTGATCAGCTAGCTTCAGTGTCATGAGTGTTTGGTCTTTCATGCCTGGCGATTTACTACTTTCATTCATACATATCGTTTTTGGTTCCTTTGTGAATTGAAAGCGGAAGTAGATATGCGCTGATCTGATGGATATATAGACACGTATGGAGAGTGATTATATTAATTATTTTATGACCTACACGAGCCCATCATTTCTTTCAAGGATTAGAACACCAACGACTGATGATTGCTTGAGTTAAAATCTACAAGAATTAAGTAATATGGCTTATTAAATCCATAGGAAATGGCATATATAATTAGCTAAATGGAGTGTTTTCCCTGCACAACCATGGGATTCTTTTAGTTGTTGTTCAACATTCCAAGCTTCTACACTCGCGCTGTGAATGAAGGCTTTGTTGTCCAAGTGGGGAACGTAGTCCCACATCAGGGAGTTGTACAGTGAGTAAAGCAGTAAACAGCAATAAAAGCCTAGGAACCTTCGGAGAAAAGGGGGGCAGGTTGTTTCCTCTCCTGCTCTCATATGAGCAGGTTCTTAAAAAAAAAAAAAATAAAAGGTTCTACTCATGTAAGGGTAGAACATGACACAATTGAATTAAATTAATTCATGAGTAATACTAAAAATTAATATTTATGCTTGCGAGTTGTAAATGCATAACATTCTTATCGACGCTTCAAAGTTTCCAATAAGATTGGATTATGGATTTAGAAATTAAAAAATAACTTTGATCTTTCGGATGTTATAAATTATCTTACATATTATTGGTTCGGATTTTCGTATTTCTTCCTTCTGTGTGCTTATAATCCTACGGGAGTTCAGGCGGCCTGCTATAATTATCGGGTTTTTAATGGGCCTTGCTGTGCGGAATAAAACCAAAAATTGGGCCCCGCAAAGAAACAGCCTAACTACATTTAGAAATGAGATCATGTTAGCAAACCTTCCAGCATAGTAGCCACGTGAGAGGGTGTTGATTTTTTTTTTTTAATATAAAGTCACGAAAAATCATGCAAAATTAAGTCAAATCAAAATGTATAAAAGTGCTACATTCTGATAGAGAGTTGTCAAAAATCAAAATGTCATTATACTCATTTGACACTTGATAAATAAGTTAGTCTATATACTTATTCGCTTCTCTAAACATATAATTAAAGTTGACCATTTAACCTTTTGTGATGAGATCTCTGATTTTTATTATAATTTTTTTGAATATATCCTGAAACCAATGCACTTGGAGCCTTGGACATGAATATCCTTATATTTGAATTCCATGATCCATACTTGCATTTATTATTATTTATCACTATCAATATATCAATGGTGCTATCTATAAAGTAATATATGCATGGTTACATTATTTATATTACTTCGTATACACATATAGTTATATATATAAAGTTACATTATTTATATTGCATTAGTTATAAGCCACAATCAATATTATTGATCTTGAATTCTATGTAAGCATGAGGTTCATGGTCTAATTATTTATTTGAAAAACAATTTATTATTACAATATTTTTATTATGCTTGTTATATCCTTTGATATGTATGTATGTGTATATACACACACACACGCACATGAAACACGGCCGGCGTCACAAAAAATACCATTTCCACCGATTAATTCCTCGCAATGAGTGTCTAAAATCACAATGGTACTCTGTCTTAGGCTCCGTTGCGTTTAAATTAGGGGAAAATATTCCCTTTTCATAGTACGAAAATCAAGATGCGTGATATTTATTTTATTTTCCTTTAATATTTAATAAGAGTTTTTTTTTTACCTACTCGTTACTTTTTTATTCATTAGTATAAAAACTAACATAAACTCCAAAATCATATAATTAATCATACACACACTAGATCCTTAATATTAGACAAAATTTAAAAATTTATCTCCAAGGAAAAATTAGAATAATTAATTTTTTTAATTTTATCCATTATATATTTATTATAGTTTGAATTCCAATACAATAATTTATCATGGTTATTTATTGTAAAGAAAATGTTAAAAATTATATACGTTTTAAAATCTTAAAGAATATAATTACTATTTTTTAATAAACATAGAGTTGGGGTTTTTTTACTAATATGCCGTAAATAGAAAAAAGAAAAATTGAAATACTGCATTATGAAAGATATTTACCTAAATATTACATTAAAAATTGTTCAGACCAAAAACAAGTTCATGATTATGAAAAAATTGTTCAAGTCAAGAATAATTTTATAATCAAAAATTATTTTTTAATTCAATGAAAAGTAAATTTATTCATTTGGTGAACAGTTTCAACTTTTTTTTTAATTAACGTGGCATTTTATTTATTGTCAGTTGTGATAATTTCTATTATTCCTTCTTGCTTTGCTTTTTCCATGAAATTTATTCAAGTATGAGATAAATGGTCACTTATTATTATTAATGTTCTTCCGACACTCGAAGAGTTTGATAGAACATCTCGAGAAATTTGTAGATGAGGCAACTTAACTTTTAGTAGAGCAGGCTGATGGTTCATGTTAAATTGTTGTTATCTCATTACAAATAAAATGTTGCATTGAGCAATCCTATCTCGATAATCAATGCAGTGAAAACATTCTGAACAATAATTAATCATTAGTCAGTATAACTCTTCTATTATGTCATCCTAAAATAAATAACAAGACATTAGATTATAATATTTTTTATTAAAAAAAGATGGCACTAGTAGAAGAAGGTAAAAAATTTATTACATACCCAATATCACTACTAATACGTCGGATCTATTGTTTGTATATCTTCAATATGATTGCATGTATTTATATGTTTTATCAAACTTTTCGAGTGTCGAAAGACCATTAACAATATAAATGACTATCTATCCCATATTTGAATGAATCGAGCGAGAGAAGCAAAGCAAGTAGAGAAAGCAATGATAGAGAATAAAATATTATGCCAATAAAAAAGCTAATTTTACTTTTTATTGAATTAAAAAAATTCTAACTACAAAATCCATCTTGGCCTGGACAATTTATTCACGATCTGAATATTTTGGACATATCATTTGAGTAAATATTTTCTATGATGCAGTATTTTAATAATTTTTTTATTATTCACAATACGTTGGTAAAAAAAACCTAAAATTGGTTAAATTTTATACAACAACAACAACAACAACAAGCCTTTATCCCACTAGGTGGGGTCGGCTACATGGATTGCAAGACGCCATTGTGCTCTATCATTTATTAAGCTTTTAGAAATATTATTAATTAAGAGATCACGTTCAACAACTTTCAAGAGTGTTCTCTTAGGCCTTCCTCTACCTCTCTTAATCGGACTCAAAGTTATATGTTCCACTCTTCTCACTGGTGCCTCCCTTGGTCTTCTTTGTACATGCCCAAACCATCTCAACCGATTTTCTACCATTTTTTCCTCAATAGGTGCCACCCTCACTTTTTCACGTATGTGCTCATTTCGAATTTTATCTTTACATGTATGTCCGCACATCCATCGTAACATTCTCATCTCTGCTACTCCAATTTTATGTTCTTGCTGTCCCGTTAAAGCCCAGCATTCACTACTAGAGATTAAATTTTATCTTATATTAAAATTGGATGGAGTAAAACCATTTAAAACTCAATATCTTTTCAACTTAGCATTGTTGGGTTGAATTACATAAATTTATTAATATTATACAAATGTTAAATAAATAAATACATATTATTTAACTTTTTCACATAAGAAAAATTAAGAAAACACTACTAGAAGATAGATATTTACAAACAACCATTAGTGTCACAAAATTTTAAAATTATATTTTAAGATCATGGTCTTTTTTTTGCAATTAATAAATTTTTGTTTTGACTGAATTACCCTGATGATTGAATCCAATTTCATCGTCTTCTGCGTCTCCAGGGATTGAAGCAGCTACTCCAATTCCTTCATAAAATCTATCGCACCTCCAATGATGGACGCTTGGTCCCCCTTTGGCTTTGAGCGTCCTGAGGTGGTCGTTCATTTTTGAGACAGAAGATCGGATTTTTACCCTGAGAAAAGCTGAACGAGAGGAATTGAAGAAGTTGGTTTGGTTCGATTTATTGAGAAAATTGATTTCCTTTTGAATACAGTGAGGGAGGGAGGCATGAGTGATCTCAGAACACCAACGTGGTCTTTCATTTGCTGGCAGCGGTTGCGTTTGACGGTAATGTGGGTGATGTGTTGATTCTCTGTGTCTTCTTTACTCTTTATCGGTCTCGTTCTCTTCCGCTTTCTTCTACAGTTCTCAGATTTCGCCGGTGACTATGACGACATATCTGCTCGCCTGCCGTCTCATGGGTGACGCAACTCTCTAGCTCCGGTGGCGCGTGAACTTGGGTCTCTATTGTTATAGGCACGGACGGCTTTTCCCTCTTTTCTTCTTCACATGGTTTCTTCTGGTTTTTGGTGTTTTTCAAGTGTCTGGAAACGCTTATTGGCACGGGTGGCGGCGAGGCTGGGGCTTTCGCTGCTGGAGCGAGAGCTGAACTTGCGGTGCTCATGTGGCGTCAGCGGCAGGCCATGTCGGCGTGGGAGCACGGTCTGAAGAGGAGGTGTTTTTCACTTCCATACCACCTGAGTTCTTGGAATACACAGGCGAAAGCAGAGACTGTTGAAGCTGCTGCTGCTTGAAGACCCAGCTCGTTAGGGGTATTTTAGTCAGAAAAAAAAACTTAAATTGCAAATATGGACTATTGTCCTAAAATTCAATTTCAAAATTTTGTGATGTTATGTGAGATGGTTATCTGTGATATTTGGAGGCGCTTATTTATTATTTTCCCCATCTAAAACTGCATTTTCTTCCTGTCTTCCCCAACCCTCAATCCGGCAGGGACACCTTCCAGAAACACTCGTCCCGCGCCATCAAAGGGAAGGCCTAGCTAAAATTGAGTAGAGAAATCAGAGAAGACCCACTTTTCATTAGAGTGCGAGATCTAATTCGTCACTTCTCCAAGTTCTCGGAGGCAACATCTCGACGTCGGACGCACTTTTCCCGGAAAAGACTTCCCACTCTGAATTCTCATCGTTTCCTGCTGCTTGGCCGCCGTTCATTAGCTGGCTGATTTCGACCTCTGAGCCGACACCTAGAGAGGTAATCTTGTGACCCCATTCTCCCACATCGTTTTTCATTTCTGACTGTAGCTGTTGTTATATCGGTTGGATTATCTGTTTAAATACGAAACCTAACCTCCACTTAAAAATATATATATATATATATATATCCTGTTAGTTTCCTATTTTAGCTTGGTGTCGTTCTAGTTGTACGGCTTCAATAAAATTGGGAATGTTAGTTTTGGGAAAATACAACATGATATTCACCAATGCCCTATGTTCTGCTGGTGAGTTGTGATAGCCTGATTGTTTCAACAAATTTTGGAAGTAGAAGTTCAACGTTTTAATTGTGCAGCGTGGACATGGTTTCTTCTTCTTGAGTGGGTTTAAGTTCATGCGTTTAAACTATACATTCACGCTGCACATCTCACCTGGCAGCATAAAGCAATCGAGACGAGAATTTAGCTTCCGTAGATTGTTGAATAGCCGATTATATCTGTACTGTCCTGTCCTTAAATTCCTTCCTTTCATTTATTTGAAATTAATTTCTGTGCTTGACTTCTTCTGCACTTTTGATCCTTGAAGGATGTCAGTTTTGAAGCGGTATGTGCTGAGATTATTCATATCAATCAAGTATGTTACCGCGAATGTTATAGACAGAAACAATGGACGGATTGTGGCAACGGCTTCAACTGCAGAGCATGCCATCAAGGAATCGCTAGAGTGTCGCCGCACCTGCAATGCAAAAGCAGCATATGTTGTTGGAGAGGTATTGGCCATGCGGCTCAAGGTTGAGGGGCTTAATGAAGGACAGGGAAGAGGCATCCATGTGAATGTAAACAAGGAAATAGAGAAGAAAGGCTTTAAGAGCCAAACCAAGGTCTGGGCCGTGGTTAATGCTCTGAAAAGTTATGGAGTTAAACTCATCCTTGATGATTGTAACGATGATTCAAGTAATTCTTGGTCGAGTCTTTAGCCTTCTCTAGGTCGTTTTGGTCCATGTATCTCAAGGAATGAAGATGTCAGGTACGCGTTTGAAAATTTTGTATGCAGTGTATTTGTGCTTGGAAGAAGACACTTGCAATAAACAAAAAAATGCATGGGAAGGAGTTTCACCTCATTCTGTTGTAGCAAATCAACAATAGGCATGGTTATTGGATAACACGCAATGGAGCATCAAATTGCGTTTAGATGCTCATTTATTGGATTAATGCATGACAAAATCGATTGTTTTGTATGCAACCTACTGGATTCTATGTGGGTTCCAGATGCTGCACTTGTATCGTGCAATTAACACAGCAATGCCATTGCAACGAAGCTAATATGCTTCAAGTGGTCAGCCACTTGTTTTACTATATTTATTGTGCTGTTCATAAATTGATCCGGAAATAAGATGAATTTGATCAAAATTTTATTACTGGTTAAAGTTACGGAATCGATTCATTTTAATGAATGGATATTGGAAACGCTTCTGCTCGGTAACCTCCCAACCTTGGAATTTAGGCCCCATTTAGCATACAAGCCTCAATTTGAAGGAAAAGGGACTAGGACTAGAATTGGATGTGAAAATGAGGTTTTAAAATTATGTTTGGTATGAAATAATAGTTGCAAGCAATACTTATTTTTATTTTATTTTACAATTAACTGTAAAATTATAAAAAGACCATAATACCTTCTTGAAATTACTTAAAAATGGAAAGTAACCTAAGCCCTCATCTTCCTGTTCTTCTTAGGTCCTTCCCCTTCTTATCGCCACCATCACCAACAATCATAATGTTGTTCACATTCGAGCTGATTCTTGGTAAAAAAAAAACATGTAGTGTCATTTTTTGCACTGCAATTTCAATCTTTCCTCCATCTCTCTCTGTGTCTAGTGGAAGAACAAGCAAGCCTTCCATTTCTATAGGAGCAAGCAAGCTTGAAGGAGCAGGAGAGCGGCGGTCTTTGTAGGGTTCATGCGGTGGGATTCTACTTCATCAGCGAGGGCTATAGCTTATGCTCCGACTTCAGCATGTTATTTTGCTTTGAACGTTTCCTTTTGGGTTCTCGTTTGCGTCAATTCTCCACAAGATTTCAACATGCCCAGTTGTTTGTCGCTTGTTCACCAACAAGGGGTCAAGTCGTCGTTGGCAAGGGATAAAGTCCTCACTTGAGTCCGAGCAAACAAGGTAAAGGAGAAGAAGGCGTGTCAGTTATGGCATTCTTGAAGAGAATATTTTAGTCATGAAAGTTTCAATCCTAAAATTAATTTTGGTAGGACTGAGCAATACTTAAGGGTGGTGGTTTTCATTATTCTTACATAAATAAGATTGATCAATCTTAAGTATTAATAAATTACTCACACCAAACATGTGAAAGGTGGGATTGCTCAAAGTCCAATCTCAATCTTCACCTTCCGATATTGCCTATCAAATGGCTCTTAGAAAGCAATGTCGCCTACAAATGGGAGCTGATCAAGCAAAGGTACTTATCAACATTTGTCCTGACTTTTCAATTTGTTTGACTTTTTAATCCACCAAACTAGTCATGAAATGAAAATAGGAATTGTGCTCTTTATTAAAGAAACAAAAGTAAAAGTCTTGCGTAGGGATCGTCTTCATAATTGTGTCTGCTTTATATTTCTAGCCTTAAGGGAAATTTCTTTCTGCCTCTCAAATATCTACTTAAGCCATACAAAGACAAGTTCCCATGATGAAGTGACAATCCTAAGGAAGGAGGGAGGAAAGAGTGACATTGAACTTTGAAATTTGCGCCTTCAACACCATGGCTTTTCCATCCTATCGAGCCCACCTCTACTGCCAGTTGCTTAATCACACGAGAATTTTAACTTCAATCATTCATAAACTAATAATGGCTATTGACCCGGAGATCCTCTGAATAGCAAAGAAGATAAACAGATTTCGTTCAATAATGTTGTCCTCGTTCAATTTTGAATTGAAAACAATTATATACTTAATTTTATATATTTAAAGTGTTTGTTTTCAATTCAATTAAGACATATGTATATTTTATAAATTGTTTATTCTATAACAAACTTTTGTTAATGATATTATTAATGCATTAAAGTCCACTTATTATAATCTAATAGGATAAAAAAATATAAAATATATAAAATTAAGTACATAAACCTTGAACCTTTTCAATTTCGTTTAAGTATGGTGACTCAGATTTTTCTTATAACGAGTGAACAGTGCCCATCTTTATTAATTTAAAACTACAAGTATGAATGGGCTCTGCTGCTAAGCTTAGAATGACTGAACGTTACCGAATATTCTAGGAAACTGGCTAGCACGAAAGCAATATAAAGCAAAATAGTTGTAAAAGTTAATCATTTGCTTTTGTTTTATGTACAACGGAGAGAAGGAGATGGTTTGGCGCTGCTATGGATGCATTGCATTGCATTGCACAACCAGTCTAGTTGAGCCGAGTATTTCGATTTGTTTACAAATATTTTTTATTCAAAGCAATTATATTAGTTAGCTATCACGCTGTGAAAGATAAACTCTTTTCACTAAATCCAACCTTCATTAATTAATTGAATTGAGCTTTGTATGAAATATTCATACCTAACAACACTACTTGATGATAATGTAATTTTTGTCATTGCATTAAGGTAAAAGTATTAATTGCACTAATGCATTTTTAACCTGTGTCTATGTCAATATATATATTTTTTTATGAATGTGTATAGGCAGATCTTTTATATTTGGGAGTCGGTTGAGGGAAGCCCTCCTCTACACCTCCTATGAGAATAGTGCAAATTTGAACTGTATAGATTTAATCCAAACAACCCAACTTTAATATTTTTTATTTTTATTTTAAACTTATTAAAATAAAAAATTTACATAATTATTCATATTAAATCTGAACTATTTAAACTAGTGAATATATCTATTAAAATTGTTTACAATTTATATAAATGATTCATTTTAATAAATTGAAAATAAATCATATTAAATCTGAATGTCAACTCTTTATATGTGACCCCGTTTTCAATAAAAAGTTGATTCTTCTTTACTGACTGTACCATATTGAGGCGTAATTTTATGTGCATGGGTTCAAGTTAAGCAAATTCATCATTGTGAGAAATGGCAATGGCATGTTGAAATAATTCACATTGGAAAAAGTGGGGAAATGAGCACTTTGAGAAGTTTCATTGCAGCGAGCCGTAGAAAGTCGGTGAGAATCACAATAATTGATTGGAGAAAGCATATTCTGAACTTTCTGACGAAAATCTTTGAAATGCCCTTGGAAAAAAGGGGCTCATAGCTTACACTTTTCTCTTTTTTTTCTTTTTGTTCCTTTTTGTTCCTTTAACATTGTTTCTGAAACGCCCAGCCCTGCTTAACCTCACACGCATGGGTATATGTTTGGATTCATGCAATATCATCATATCTAGCACCTAAGATAAGGGGAAAGACTTAAAAGTGAAAAAAAAAAAAATTAACCACATGGAGATGGAATCCCACAAACGCATATACTTTTTACTTTGTGAATATACAAAAAGCCCACTTGAGAAGATAATCTTTAATTTAAAAAAGAAAAGAAAAAGTATTTCATCGTTGGATTAGGTCTATCAGTAATCGAGTTTTGAATAGCGCGGAAAAATGCCATTGTTGAGTTTTCACATGCAAACTTGATGGATCTAATGGAAGAGAGGATTTTATTACGCAGAGAAGTCATTTAGATAATTGGATTTTGAAGCGGCTTTGTTGATTTTGGTGTCCTATCCCTTGAAGTTACCCCAGAATTTGTGGGAAGGTTCTTGCTTCCTTAATTTCCCCAAGGCAGACAAAAATGACGGGGAGGTTTGAGTGCATGGTGTAGCGGCACATAGGACCATCATGACATGCAAGATACAATTACAACATAGTTTGGTGCATAAAAACCTAATATGCTCGCATCATGATACCACACGTTGATGCTTTCGAGAGCTATGAAGCACCGCACGTGCTTCCCAAATTGAGGCCATTTATCATTGATTACTTCCTTTCACAAGTCTTTTCTGCTGCGAAAGACACTTAAACCCCTGTGGGACACCCTATTTTATCTTGCTCAGTTGATAGTTACGACACAGACTCAAACAATTCAAATTATTCATACGGGGAAGATGATGATAAGGCGTCTCTTTAAAATGACTTTAGCATGCATTTTCTTCTATCCTTGAACCTGAATGAATGCCTTGGTAGTATTGTTTGGCTGTGGCTTGCCTTTCTCTGCCACTTTGTATATATGGTGACTTGGTGAGGGGTCCACAAGGTTGGCACGGGCCATTGGGATTTTACAGTAACAGTACCATTAGTACGGCCACTCCTTTCGCAAGAATAAAGTGCCAATTCTCATCGTCCAACCCCTTCGCCACACAATTCCTTCTCTCTTACCACAAACGAAAACCAGCGAAGATTACAATATCAGATCTCCATGAACCTGACCCCCAAATACCCCAATTTCCAAAAGAAACTAGTTAGGTTGCAGTAAATTAGAAACCCAGGAAAGAACCAAGTTGGAATCGTGTGAAAAAGAAAACAAGATATAAATAATAAAACAGTGACTGCACTGCCCTGCCCTGCCCTGAACCCGAGTGACCCCGTAGGTGGATCTCAAGGCAATGCCTGGTTTTAAAGCATGAACCCACTAACGAACCTGGCTTCCGGGAAATGGCAATGTGTCTCGGCCATGAATAGGACAAAATGGACAGGCCGAAAGGACAGAAAAACCGAGAGAATGACCGACTCCATCACCCACAGGACAATTAATATGAGCATGCCCTGCGTCGGCCAGGCGTGATGAGTTTCTATTCGCCTTCCCAATTATTGCAACAGTTTCAGCTTCACGCTTCATTAAAAGAATCTAAATCGGCAGAAAGTGACATCCCGAGTGCAATACAGAAGCCATTTTCTATATCATTTACATCGTGGAGTTATAGTTACTCACATGAAAACCTTTCTACTAACCACAAAAACAACTCTGCTTCCCTATGCTTCATCCATTCACTCAGAAGTTAGAACTTCAAGCCCAACTAGCTACCAAAAAAAGAAAGAAAGAAAAGAAAACATGAAAAGGGAGCGAAAACTGTCTTCCCCTGCGTTCTGATGCTGACAGAGACATCTGAAGCCTCACATGAGGGAGCAGGCATTTGGGTTCTCATCACTGAACATCTGTGGTGGATGAACTGGCTCCATGTAATAAACCGGACCGTAGTTATACCCATACGCATAGGGAGGGAACATGAACTCCATCTTGCTCTGCTCCAATTTCCCTCCGCCGTCACCGCCGCCGGTTTCCTCCTCAGCCTTCTTATTATCTCCACCGCCTTTCTTCTTCCCGCCTCCTTTGCCTCCTCCTCCTTTCTCACCAGCGCCATCTTTCTCTTTCTCCTTGTCCTTTTCCTTATCCTTCTTGGGAGGAACCACCTCAACCTTCCTCTTCAGCCTCGCATTCAAACTTTCGACGAGAGATTTCACATCCATAGATCCCTTCACCGTAATGGTTTCCTTGTCCTTGTCCATGGACAATTCCTTGACTCCTGCATTGCCATTGTAAAAGCCGTCAAAAAGACTAATATAAAAACGAAACAAGGAATCTGGCAAATAACGAGATAGGGAGCAGGATCAAACCACCCCACCTTTGGTTTTGGACACCGTCTTGCGAATCCTCTCGATGCATCCCTGACAGTGGAATGCCATCTTCAGAACCGCCGTAGATTGCTGAGGCTGTTTTATTGGCAACATTAAAATTATCAATTAAACACGCAGGACTGTGAATTGGATATGTATATCGAATAGAATACAACGCAAAATAGAAATGATCTGAGATTGGGGTTAGATGTGACCGAGGAGTTAACCTCTTTCGATTGTTTGCCGTCGGCGTTCTTCTTCTCAGACTTGTCGTCGGGCTTCTTCTTGTCGGTTTTGCAGTCCTTGCCGCCCTTCTTGGGCTGGGGAGAGATGAGGTCGACCTTCTTCTTGGTCTTGTCGGCCAGCTTGTCTCGGAGTTTGGAGGGGTCCACATTTCCGGTGATAGTCACCCTGCCGGAATCACCATCGACTTTCACAGTTTCCACGCCTTTAACAACAATGTGGAATTTCACTTGAGTTGAGTACAAAGACAGTAAATAGGGTATTAAAAACAGAAACCGAAAAGAACCTGGAGAGGAAGAAACTAAAGAGAACAAATAGGTTCCAGGGGTGAAAATCAGAGAAGAAAAGCAATTATCACGGAGACAACAAATAGGAATGGAATGTTGGAAAGAAGAAACGGAGTGATAGTGAAAAGAGAAAGTGGAAAATCGGGGAAGAGCAGGCGAAACCTTGAAAGCAGTTGAGGAAACGAATGATCTTGGAAGCACAGCCATCACAATGCAAGTCGACCTCCAAGACGACGGTGGTAGGACTAGTTTCGCCTTTGTTGGGCGCGTGGTTCTTGTCCTTTGTTTGAGCATCACTTTTCTGGGTCTTCTTCTGCAACATCACACAAATGATCAGCCAAAAAAAAAATGAGAAAAAGGGAGCCGGGGGGGGGGGGAATTGAGCGCACCTCGCCCATTGTGATCGTGTTGCGAGGGAATGGAGAGAGATTTGGGGGTAGTGGAGAATTTATAACGAATTAGTTACGCTTGCGCGAGGATAGCGGGAGGGTGGTAAGTGGTCATGGAGTGCCTGGGAGTTCAAATGTCGGAACACCAAGGCATCATCACCATCATGTATGCAATTGTAATGCATTATGTGGGACCCAATACGTGCAAGTTGCCTTACCTCCCTCGGAGATCCTTGTCACAGTCAAGCCCTCAAATGTTTTTTTCCTGTATTAATAATTAATTAATTATTAATTGAAGTGATGTTTATTTAATTTAATTAATATTAATAATAATAATAGCGAAGTCGTTTCTTTTTTCCTCCTTCATGCAGGAAACGGGACTGGTATTTTTCTGGGGAAAAAGCTCTCGACTATTATAGGTTCTGGATTATTTCAACCCTGTCAAAGTTTATGTTGTACAGTGCCGTGGTCATCGTTATTGTACGTGTAATCAAATTATCATTGTTTCATAAGTCACCGATCTTTTGCTACTTTAAATTCGTCCACTCCTGAAATTAAATGCAAATAATTACAAATACTTGAAATTACAATATTTCATGTTTTTTTATTGCCCACTCTCTGTCTTTGAAAGATAATTATATTCAAAATACAGTTAAATAATAAACCTATATATTTTTTTAAGTGAGAATTTGAATCTTAATTTATCATATTATAAGTCATTAAATTCAAGTGTCATTGGTTAACTTTATTTCTGATCTTTCAGTGTATAGCTAGGGGGAGGATCTCATCTAGACATGAATAATATGTCTTCCCTTAAATTTTATATAATCCATGATTACTTTTTAAATTTTTTCTCATCTCTTCATAGATATCATAATATGCTCTTGCCATTGCATTTTTTCCCATAAAAGTCTAACTTGCCTAAAAGGCATATATTTAAAAATAATTAACATGTGATGACAAATCAAAAGGGCACAAGTATGTTACAAAGGTTTAATTAGAAAATTAGAACTAGTAATTCGGGTCAAGCCCGATGGGTCCTTATAAACCTGTCAAAAAAAAGTTAAGACCGAGTTTGACTATATAAGTTTTTTTTTTAAAAAAAGTATGATATTTTAAATTGATTTTAATTAAATTTGATTCGAATAAACCAAACGCAACCGTAGGAATTACTATCTCAATATATGTGTGAAGCTAATAATTCAGGCTAAACCTGATGAATTAGCCTGTAACCGCTCGAAAAAAGTTAAAATTTTACTTGATTATATAAATTTTTTTTTTGAAATATAGAATGCTTTAAGCTCGACCCATCCAAACTACTAGCTCTATAGATAATTGAGCAAGAAAAGGAGGATCGATGGACAAAAACGTCTTTTGGGCCATAATTTTGTAGATGATGAACGATGAACCGGGCTGAGTGGTTGGGTCAACAATATTAGGTGGCAACAAGTGTGAGGCCCTTCTATCTTGTAGTTCAAAAAATCAGGCTGAAAGCCTAAGCAGATTACGGGCTTTAATCACCCAAAAAAGCCTCTGGCCCAATTCGGGAATTTTACACAAAACCGTCAAAACGTTTCACACTTTCACTTTCAGTTTTCGTCACCATAAAAATAAGAGGGAACAAATGTTTTATCAATAATTAATAATAATTTAATTTGAAGGTGGGGAAAAAGTGTCGACAAGTTGCTAAGGAGTTGAATTTCAACTCAGGACTGGGGCCTACCAGGGAAAGCGTGACATTTGACAACGCCCTCCACCATAACCTGAAGCGATATTTCACTCGCGTTACAGTTCAATTATTCAAACCATCATTCCAATCACAAACAAAAATTCAGAACTCGTCAATAATCTAAATCTAGACTTAGTTCCATCATAGTCGAATTAAATTTCAAAAAAATAAAAAAATACAGGTAAAGTACGACATTTTTACAACTTATACATCCACTAGACTAACTAATAATTTTCTTGATGTAACTGATTTCCCGGAAGTTATGACCCTTCAATGTAAAGACTTAAACCCTGTTTAATGACAATAAAGCAACCCTTAAAAGAACTTTTTTCTCTAATTGACTTGTATTATCCGGACTCCTTTTTTAATTAATATCTCATCCCGTCAAACTCATCTTACAAAGCAACCAGTTCTGTCCTGTACTACATATCCAGACTGATATAATTTCTTATGATTTCTTTTTTGGCATCGTCTAAATGTGTATGAATTGACCATACTGAGTGGTGCAACAAATTTTCATCCATAAAATATGAATTCACAACTTTATTAAAAAAAAAATCAAATTCCTCTCATTAGAATGCTCATGAAAATTTAGGAAAAGTGTAACTTTTAATCCTAAATTTTTTCTCAATTATTGGTTCAGTTCTTAAATTTTAATTCAAAAAAATTTAATTTATTTAAGTTCTTGAAACAATTCAATCCTTATAATTTATTAATTTTATAAAATTCATTCTTTTATGATTTATTAAATTAATAAATTAAAATGATTGAATCGCAAGAAATTAAATTTAAAAATAAAATTGATAATTGAGAAAAAATTGTTGGGCCAAAAATTATATTGTCCCAATATTTTACACGGATAACCAATAAAGTCGCGCACCAATAATGTTGGGTGGCCTAGGTGGAAAGGAGGCGGGTCATTTGACCGGTATTGTTACCCACACACCGTCTCACTCTGGCTATTCTGCGCCAATTTAGCAAACCGACTTTACCCCATCTTCCAATGTATTTTTGATCTGATGCTCTGAGACTCCAACCGCACTCCCAAACTAAGCAGATGAGGCACCAGTTTTTCTTTTCTTTTTTTACTGTCTGATAAGGACCTTCGAAGTCCGTTCACGACACGACTTTATATCTCAATTCCCAAATTCTCAATGTGTCGGCCAGGCTTTGACTTTGTTCGTTAACCCCAGAACTGATACGTCGTCCATCTTCTTCTCTTGTATTCATCTGATTCCACCTTTCAGCTTCTTCCTAGTTATGCTTTTCTCATCAATTTTGGAAACTGCTGTTCATACCTTTCTTGTTGATATTTGTTTGCCAGTAGAACTATCCGTCATCTAGTTTTGTTCTTTTCACCTTCGTAAAATGAGCCGGTCGCAACTGTTTTGCATCCTACAGCTGATGCTTTGCAATCCATTTGTACTTCGAAGTGAGAGGTGGGGAGAGAGAAACAAGTTGTGGGTTTCACTGCCTCTAACTTTTTTCTGCTCCTTCAGCCGCACGTATTGCATCTGGCATCTGGATGTCATCACCAAAAACATATGAGTGAGGATATAGCTTTCATTTTTATTTTGTTACTATCTATCACTATGTTTTTCACGCACAACATGTCTTTATCATCATGAAGCGCAGGAGAACATGCCTGGTTGGCTGATGGTTAGGGTGTGCAAGATAATTTAATAAAAAATTAATATTTTTTAAAAATAATAATTACATTATAGAATTAAAATTATAGTAACATAAATAGATTGATGATCATTTTTCTTTTTAAAATTTATAATGACTATGTTGATATGATCTTTTATGTAAATTTACTCTTCATATCTTATATAAATCATTAAATTATTTTATATCTAATGAGCTTTTGAGCTTGAATATTTTTTATTTAGTCTAAAGGGGACAAAGGATCAAGAATAAAAGATATAAAGTTGTGAAATTTTATATCATACTTGTAATATTTTTTAAATTGAAGGGGTGCATTTGCCCCCTCACTACCATGTGGCTCCGCCATTGGGGGAGGGGGGGACCTGCTTCTCCATGGCTTTCAATTTTCTTTAGTTTTTTGGTTGGAGTTCACTTCATTTACTATTCACTCTATTTGAAGTCTCTTTCAAAATATAAGACATTAAATAAATTTTATATTTTTTTATTTATATCCTTACCTTTTTTGTTTATTATCTTTAAATACTCTATACTTAGATATGTGTTATTATAAACTTTTGAAAGAGCATAAATGAAAAACATATAAATATTTTTAGGAAAATAAAGTTTCATTTCTCATAAACTCATCATAAATAGTGAATTAATGAACAATAACATGAAAAAATACTTCCTCTGATTCAAAAAATAAGTATTTTTTTTTACTAATATTAGTTCAAAATATGAGTAACTTAGTACATGTAAAATAAAATTTCTTACTCTTTCTCTTATATTTAATAACCTAGGTCTTTGTGTAAATGTACATCTCACTTATCATAAAATACATTAGTAATTAGGATTAAGGGTAAAAATTATATATACATATATATTTTATGAGAATGAGGGCATGTTAATTTTTTTTTAAACAATTGCTCATATTTTGGATGGAAAGGAGTATGTAGAAAGAGGGAAGGACAAATTACATATTAATAGTAGAAGGGGATTGACATCTCATACTATTAGAATGCAACACAGCCTCCTAGTGTAACGGGGCACAATCTTAAATAACAAAAAATCACATCACAGATCAAGGTATTCCTTGGCAATCCTATCTGCCACGATATTAATCTCTCTTGGGATGTGCCGGAACTTTAACCGCCAATTCCTCTCTTGGATGTTCTAATCCTTGTTAAGACTGGAGCAGCAGTTTTTTCTCTTTTCTCAAAATCATCAAGAGTATCACAGCCTCCACAGCCTGGGCGGCGAAGAAAATCACCCGAGGGAGGCCGACAGTTGGGCCCAGACCCAGTAGGCTCACCCGGGAGGCTCCGCATTACTCCCTGCCCACTTTTTCTGTGACCCACATCTACACGCAGGCGCTCCGGTGTCCTAAGATGCGTCAGACAAATTTCCACGTGGCAGTCACTCATTAGAGGGGCCATCAAATCCCACGTGCTCGTCATCGTTTTCCTCACGTGGCCTCTCCCCGGACTGATTGAGTGGCAGACAAGGGGGTACGTGCATCTATCCATCACTTGCATTTCCGTATCACCGGCAATAATTTGAGCTCCTTGAATCCATATCCCTCTCCCAAAACCATCCAAATTCATTGCCCCCCAAATATTGTGAAAGTATTATTATTTAATTGTGTTTTTTTTTTTTACTTTTGATATTAGAACTTTACACTTATTTTTTTTATCATATCCACTAAGCTTTATAGTATTTTTAAAATTAGGAGCATTATTCTTGTATTGAATTATTGTGATCATGCATAATGTATTATTATCTAGAATTAGAGTAAGGAGAATGGAGTGAGCTCTACAGCCCAACCTATCAATAAGTGATGAGTTGTTTGCAACTCAATTTAATGATGTGCCTATTTAGCCCACCCTGTCCAATCAGCAAAAAAAAAAAAAAAAATGGTAGGTTTCCTTTTTTAAAAAGGTACAGTTTTTATTTTTTATTTTAATTATAATAAATAAAAAATGATTGTTTTACATTTTTTGAAGCATTACTTTATGTTTTAGAGTAGAAACTTAATTATGTGCACATATTTAACAGTTATACAGTTAATTCAATCACATAATTTCATCAAAATATATAAGCAACTTAAATTTAGACCATAAAACTTTGTAATTGGATTAAAAAACATTAAATTATCAAAAAAGAAAGCATCTATAACATGTATTAGCATTTTTCTAACCTGCCGGGACGCTAGCATATTCAGCTCGCCGCACTCAACCCGTTACTTGTGGCAGGTTATTTGGGTGGTCTTGTATTTCCAACTTTACGTGTCAAGTCAATGCAGCTAATTTAAAAAAAAAAAACTCGCATGCCATATTATATCCTTGTACTGGGGACATTAGAAATTCAACAAATCTGTATCTATCTATCAATATATATATATATATATATAGATGACTGGTGATCTATTTTATCCATCTATTAGAAATTCAACAAATTTGTAACACTATTTATTAGACTCTATTATACTTGCTAATCCATGTAAATTAGTTTTGTATACAAATTCTATCAGTTATGATGTTTATATTAGCAATTTCAGTTAGCTCAAAACCAATGAATTATTGTTACAGTTTTCCCAGTTATTCATATACTTATAAATCCGAAGAAAGTAAGTTCAACGTGAATGTCAAAAGCAACATAAAAAAACAGACTGCAATATACATTTGTAGGAGCATCCTGCCTGTCTCCTGCTAACCTTTTCTCTCTATATATATTGAGGGAGAGGCGGGGAGGGGGGGCACGCAGCTTAGTTTAAGTATTTAGATTGGTAGGTAGGAGCTGAGGATGCCACTGTGGCCTTTATCTGCATTTGCACCTGCACTTTATTTCTTGCCTCTCAACTTAACCCTAATTATCCAAATCACACCAGAAACGCGCCATTAGGTTGAGCCCTGTATAATTAGGTGCAGGTGCATCTGCAGATGAATGCTATACTGGCTCATATAACTCTTCTTCTTCTTCTTCATGCATTTCTGGACGACGAAAGGCTTGACTCTTCAACCTTTTATATTCATCTCTTTTGTAGGTTAACCAAGTATCCAAGCATATAAACATATCATGGAGTTTGATAGGCGCGCCCAACCTTGGATCTGTCATTTCAGGTTCTCTCTTCACTAATTAGATCTACATTTCTACACTGCAATCATATTGTCGCACTCTATCCAGGTGAATTTATATATAGTTCCCAGGCTGACCTACATTCAACTCATGGAGGTAAAGTCGCGTATGTTCGTCAGAAAATTTTGAATATCTTTCTCTTCTGTAAAGATGACTGGTGAATGATTTAATTGGACCATCAAGTCTTTTTTTTTATGTTCAGTATTTGAAATTAGTGTTGAACTAATTAATTAAACATTATCAGCACTCATGACAATTTTTTTTTAAAATGATCTCTTGCTAGTTTTAGAAAATTAAACGATGGAAACATTAATCAACGATTTCCGAAATGGACTTCAGGTGTTTTTGAGATGAAAATGCTGATGCATATCTAAGCTGTTACTATAGGGGGCTTTAATTTATATTCTTTTAGGGCCCATCGATATTGTGTATTTCACTGAGAAGTTCTCTACTTGTATGTGAGACGTATTTATATACACGAGAGAGAATGATTTTAGACACAGCATGCATGTTTAGGTAGCTGAAATAAGATTAGTTGCTTCTTTCAGTCCACTTAGTTTTCATAAAAGAATCAACGGTTCCATCTCTGCAGAAGAGGCTAGCTCTTATAGAAAGTGACACTGGTTCGTTGGCCATGTTCATAGTACATATATAAGGGAAACACCTGCATATACGATCGAAATCTCAGGGGTGTGTGTGTCTCTCTCTCTCTATATCGCCGTCAGTTCATCTAGCTTCGCCATGAATCTTTTTGGACATCTTTATATACATGTCTGTGTATGTCTAATATATATCTCGCATGATTAACAAGACTTTCTAAATGCCTTGATTGAATCTGTTTGACCCATTTTGGCTTTTGAAAATTATCTACCCTTTTCTTTATGCTCGTTGTGAACAATAAAAATACTAGGCGTGTTAAAAATGTTGAATCTCGAATGATAATAAATGATCTTCAAACTCCTTTATCACAATCTACCTAAATATAAAAGATGCAAAAAAAATTAAAATAACAAGCATTTGATTTATTGAAAGTGCAAGATACAAGATCGTAAAAGTAACAAAACTAAAATGATGCTAAAAACTATTTGAAAATACAAAGTACAAAGCTAAAAGTATAATGGGTGTTAGTGATTGATTGTTGTTCAGTCCCTTTTCTAATTTGTAACCTTCTCCTTCTTTTATAATGCCTTAGCTGATGCAACTGTTCCTAAAGGATCTGAAACTCATTTATGAAATATTAGAAATTCAATATGCACATTGGGTGAGATTTATAACACAATCTTCCTATTCGCAACGCGTTCCATTGTTAACTATGAGCCCATATCCTCAAGATATTTATGGATAATGGCCATGACTTTGCAAAATTTAAGACTTGTGGAGAACACGATCTGTTGTGAGATAATGATCTAGCTAAAGATACTAAATCTTAAAGGATTTAAAAACTCATGCTTACTTAGTCAACTTATTCCATTATGATCTGGATTGTCTTGTTGTTAGATTGCTTATTATGCCTCACTTTTCAATTATTCAACCTATTTTTTGTTATAGTCATTGTAAATGATATTTCAGTTTTAATCCAAACACTTTAATTTCTACTCAACTCTCCCTTTGGAATGGAATATAAAAGGAGATTGTTATTGAAAGATTCAGTAGTTGCTCATTTGGTAAATGATTTCGTGTAAGATTATTCTCACCTGGGATTGAGATAGTTTTGCACATAAGAGAGGACGTGGGGATTAGATAAACTAGGCATTCAACTATTATTTTACTCCAAAATCTAGTAATTGTTAATGGCTTTGAGGTAGTCCAGCACCTGCATATTTCAATGGCAAAAAATTGCCATAATATCGTTGTGAGAGCTTTTGTCACTTATTCTATTTACAACTTGCTGTTGAAAATATACAATTGCCAGAATTTGTCATCGCTGAAAAGTAATGCTAATATACATTGTTGTGTCTCACTATTTTATCGTAAAGCTAGAATGAACTTATAATATATTATTGTGTAATTAAATATATATTATTAAGCTAAACAAATATACATATATATTAAATATTAAATATTATAAAATATTGTTACTATCATTAAATACTTCAATTTAATTTTTTTTATTTATTAGAATTTTGACTTATATTTTTTATTTTGTCTTAAATAAATTATAAATGTAATTGATACAATATCATTTATATTATTTATTTAAATTTTTCTATAATTCTTGAGGTTATTGTATTATTTATTTTAATATTCATATTTATAAGTATAATATAAAAATATTTAAGAATAAATAATAAAAATACTCTGACCATACATTAGATCATAATTATTTATTTTTTTGGCTTGTTTTAATCAAAAGTTTATTTTACTTTTAATTAACAATAAGTCTTAAGTAATGTAATTGACTTGCTTTTACATTATATTTTACTTTTTTTAATTATTTTTTAATTTTAAATGATAATTTAATAAGAAAATTATACACTATAGTATCTATTTTTTTTTTATTTATGTCTCAAAATAGCATCAAACAGACAAATCATATAGCATCACATACATGACTATATTTCATATATTCTAAAAATTAAAAGTAAAATTTTAGAATCTATTGTTTATTTTCTATTCGTCTTCCTCTTCCCTATTATTAGCCAATAAATTAGGAACCTCTAAACCAACATCAAACTTTAAAGTTATCGATATTAAATGTAAAATTTGAATTAAAAAATTAGATTGATTGAAATATCATTCTATGGCTGAATAAATTAATTATCACATGTCTAATTACTATAAACAAGTAAGTATTGCTTAAAATATCAATTCAATCATAAACATTTGAAAATAGAGATTCATTCTTACATTATATGCATTTTAAATTAAAATATCAAACAATATATTTGTGAATGAATTTATTACTTTACATAAAGGTGTGCATTAGTCAATTTAATTAGATTCAATTTTAATTGATTAAAATTAATTAATCAAATTAGCCTAAATAGTTGGATTAAGTCAAACTGAACATTACTTGATAATAAAAGTTGACTTAAAATAATATAGTTTGGCTTGATTATTTAATCCAGCTTATTAATATTAAATAATACATTAACCTTATCTTAAAATAATTTATTATTTTAAAATATTAATTTAACCATAAAATATATTAAATGAAAACTAATTATATTATTTTATATATTCATCATAAAATTATAGTAATACAACGAAATTAATATCTTAAAATGTTATGCATTGTATTAAACAAAAAAAAATAAAAAAAATATGATGATAATATTTAGTAACTATTAATTGTTATAAAAGTCAAATTCATTGCTGATTGTGAACTCATAAGTCGTTGTTAAAACTTGACTTTCCATAACTCATCCACTTATCGTAGAAAATTACATTTTCAATGGCAACTTCAACTATCGTCATAGAAAATCAAACTTTTTGTAATGACTTTTAAAGTCATCACTGATTGTTCACTTTTAGTGGTAATTTTTTAGAGTTGTTGTTAAAAGTTGTTGTTGAATTTTTTTTTTTTTGTACTATCTTGCATATTTTCTCCTAGCTAGCAGTTTTTTTTTCCCCACTTTCACAGATGTTTAATATTTAATTTATCCACTTTGTCAATAGAGTTGATCTAGCTGTTTACGTCACTTTTCACTATTAGAATTTATTCTATGATTTTGAAGAGGATTATTTATCAATATTATTTGTTATAATTCAAAAGGGATAATACTTGCATTAATGGATCAGAGTTGAAGGATGGTTTTCAGTGTTTTGGTCGAAATAGCATGCTCACTCTAGTTTCCACTTCATTTGCATGCAGCTTGAAAATGAAGGTAGTTCCAGAAAGCACATAAAAGTCCAGCACAACAGTACACTCTCAAGAAGAAAGGAGAAAGGGAAGGAAGGGTATTCAAGAAGGCTTGCGAGTTAATTGTTAATGATCTGCTTATGATCGATAATTCAAATTCAAAAAACAGCAGCTAACAAAGTAAATCCTTGCACGATTTGTGCCCGAGCTGTCTCTCTCGTAGTGTGTATAATGTCAATTAATTCACTGTGGTTTCTAAATTAAAGGAGCTGAGCTGCAGGACCAAGTATTTATTTCTTAGAGCCAAGATTCAGTTTTATTATACTTCTTCTGTCCTTTTTATAAAAAGATTTCTTTATCTTTTATACAAGTCATTTTCTCCTTTTGTAATATATTTTATATACAATTCTAAAAACTACCTTCTAATAAATTTTTTTTTAAAAAAAGTGTAACATTTTTTATTTAAAAAAAAAACTCTTCCCATACATCAAATACTTTTTTTTGAAGTAGGAACAAAATTGAAAAGTAATTATTTTCAAGACAAATTTATCATCCTAACTAATTCACATTGGTTTTGATAAGTTAGTTAAAACTTAAAAGTAACTTATAAAAATTAAAATTTAATTTTTTTTAATGAAAATCTTTAAAATTTAATACGCTTTCAAATATTTTGTGGGGGATGATCCCCCAACTATTAATTATACACACACACCTGTTAAACTTTACTTTTTTTGTACTACAATCCTTTTAAATTTGAAGTTATATGCAGATAACTCACCTAAATTTTAAGTCCTATATAGATAAATAATCAACAAAACTAATAGTAGGGGATCTATTTGTATGAATACAAGAGTTTAGGGGACAATTAATTGTAAAGTTTCAAACAAAAAAAAAACACAAGAATTGTTGATTATAAAACTAACCGCATATAGTTGTATAGAAAGAATAAAACATCAAAAGATCCAAATAAAAAGAAATTAAGGGCTAATATTTGCATGATTCAAATTTAATTTATTAAACATTTTAGTTAGATAATATTTTTAATATTTTTATAGAAGTACAAAATAAAA